GGTGATGGTAGACTGTCATACCTGTCTGACTTGTTTCACCTGCCACAACTCTCTTGTTTACTGTAACCTGTCTGTCACAACTCTCTCTTGTTTACTGTCACCTGTCTGTCACAACTCTCTTGTTTACTGTCACCTGTCTGTCACAACTCTCTTGTTTACTGTCACCTGTCTGTCACAACTCTCTTGTTTACTGTCACCTGTCTGTCACAACTCTCTTGTTTACTGTCACCTGTCTGTCACAGCTCTCTCTTGTTTACTGTCACCTGTCTGTCACACCTCTCCCTTGTTTACTGTCACCTGGCTGTCACACCTTGTTTACTGTCACCTGTCTCACCTTTCTTGTTTACTGTCACCTGTTTGTCACACCTTGTTTACTGTCACCTGTCTCACCTTTCTTGTTTACTGTCACCTGTGTTGTTTATTCTGTAGACTTTCACACCTCTCTTGATGTCCGTCTCGCAATTCCCTGTCTCACCTGTCTCACCTGTCTATCGCACCTGTTTGCTTTCGTACCTGTCTTTATGTTTTGCATTTCATACTAAGCCCTGCTGATCCTGTCTCTCACTGTCTCACCTTACTGTCTGGTCGCACCTGGAAACTTGCTTCTACTCCCTCACACCTGTCAGTCCACTCTAAAATTACTCAAAGTGGAGAGAGAGAGAGAGAGAGAGAGAGAGAGAGAGAGAGAGAGAGAGAGAGAGAGAGAGAGAGAGAGAGAGAGAGAGATTATAATTGACCACAGAGAGTGTGTGTCATAATTGGGTACAGTGAGAGAAAGAATGAAAGAAAGATAGAGGGGAGAGAGAGAAAGAGAGAGACGTTCATTATAATTGGCCTCAGAGAAAGATAGTATGTGAGAGAGAGAGAGAGAGAGAGAGAGAGAGAGAGTCATTCCAATTGGGCACAGTTGGTACACGAGCTCGGTGAGTCATTAAGAGGGACCAATTAAGCAGATGTAGCTATTAAGATCACTCTGATTAACGCTGGTTCTTTTTCATTGACTTCTCGTTCTTCTTCCTCTCTTCTTTTTCTCCTTGATTTATCTTCTTCTCTTAACCCTTCTTCTCCTTCTTCTTCTCCTCTTAATTACATCTTATTGTTGTTCTTCTCCCCTCAATTCTTCTTCTTCTTCTTCTCCCTTCTCTTAAATCTTCTTTTTCTTCTTTCATAAACACCTAAAAATATCCCACTGGACAAATTAGTGTTATCGTCTAGGGTTAATAATATCAGAGAGTCTAGCTACCTAGGCTGGGTGTAGTTAAGTAGGATTAGATACAGTTAATTAGGCTCGTTGTGTCTGCTGGGTTGGCGAAGTTAATGCCGGGTTACATAACTTACATGTCGGGTTATATAACGTACATTAGGCTAAGTGGGGTGGTGGTAGGGTGAAGGAGGGAGGTGGGGTGGGGGGTGGTGAGGGAAGGGGGCGGTGTTGGTAGGGTGGTGGGGTTGGTAGGGTGGTTGGGTAGGTAGGGTGTGGTGAGGTAGGGATGATACAGGCTAATTTCAGGTTTGTTACAGTACTTACAGTCGGTTAAAAGAATTATTATGTAGCCTGTGTTAAGTCACTGTATTTGATTAGGTTAAATTTGCTTCCAGTCCCAACTTGTCGTGAGTTATTGAGGTATGATTGGCGCAATTTGAAGCCTGTTTTAGTCTCGGGTTTTAAAGGGGTCAGTTCATGGGTTTGAATTCTGAATATATTTAGTATATTTTAAATTCGTGGATTCTAAGTTGGCACGATTTATGTATTTATTTATTTAGCTGTTATGTTTGTCAGTTGAGAAATTCACATACACCCGATACTGATTTTTGGAACTAATGAACACAATCCCAACGTTTATTTCACCCTTACACACAAATAAAGTATATACTGGCGCCCAAAGTAACGCTCTCACCAAATAAACTTAGATTATGTTACAGTATGGTGACTTAAATGGAGCTTAACTTGACCACATGATCCCACGCATGCGCAGAAGGGGTCGAGAGGTCGAAGGTATTTGGTATATATTTGATTATTTTATATCCTAACCTTTATATAATTTTATGTTATGATTTCACCAAATTTTATATTACGTTAAGATACAACATAAATGTTACAAGTTTATTTAAATTCGAACGCAGGAGGGAAGAGGTAATTGCTATATCCTTGTTCATTTTACATACCAACATTTATCGTCTTGTAGGTCACGATTTCACAAATATATCTTAGATTAAGTTACAGCAGAGCGTCTCAAATTGATTTAAATTCGAGGGCGGGATCCCACGCATGTGCAGAGGGGGAGGGGTGGTACCGGGTATATATATCAGATTTTCCTGCGCAAGAATCAGGCGCGTTTACCGTGACACCCCGACATAAAGGCCTCGCTTGTCTGATCCCAGGTAATCCGAGAACGAATTGCTGTTTTATGATGCTGTTTGCGGAGGTGGCCCAGGCAGCCGAGCGCACGAATTATGAGCGGGTATTTTGCAATTATCCTTTCAATTGCAGTCGACCGTAGGCAGGCCGTGGCGAATGTCGAAATAATAGGCCTGTTGCACCCGCGGACCAGTACACTCCCACCAAAATTAAGATGGGACGGGTGGGCAGAGTAGTAGGAGGGGGGGAGGTAGAGACTAGTATTTTTGCATCTATTTATAAAACTTTAATAATTCTAAATACAGTGAATACAAGACGATATATTATTGTTAGTTTTGCATCATTCTGCCTTTAATGTTAGTGTGAAATTATTTAACATTAGATCTTTCTTAATGTGGGAAAATTCGGGTATTGGAACGATTTTGTTTTTATTTCAGTCTGGTTATGGAATGTCTGTTGATCATTCTTAGCGTTGGTTAATGTTTGTGGGTTTATTAAAGGGGTAAATGTCGGTAATGGGATTAAGGTTGTGGGGGGGAGGGGGGGGCTAATGTTAGGTTATTCTACTCGCTTGGTTGTGGTCCAAGGTTCGTATCTAATAGTAATATGAGTCTTTTTTGTACTTCTATAACAGTTTATATCATTCATTCACTCACTCATTCACCTGCTCCCTCGCTCACTCAGTTTGTAGTGAGTGAAAAGTTTCTATTCTAAAGGAAACAAAATTCAATGTCATTTAGATTTATCTGTTGAAACACACACACACACACACACACACACACACACACACACACACACACACACACCTATCCTCTCCACCAAGCCTCTTCACTTTTCGTTTATTTTCCGAGCTAAATATTTGGGCCCTGAAGCCTCGAGTAACCTCTTCCCTCCACCTCCTTCCCGTCCTCCCTCCCTCACCTGTTTGTTTGTGTGTTTGTGATGTGTTTGTTGGTCCGTGTTTGCTCCGCGTGTGTTCTCTCTCTCTCTCTCTCTCTCTCTCTCTCTCTCTCTCACCAGCAAGATAGATAACTGTTTTAATGTGTTTGTGTGTGTTTTGCTGTTGTAGTTGTTTGTTTGTTTGTGACATGTTTGTTGGACCCTTTGTGTTTTTGTTCTTGTGAATCTATTTACTGGTGCATGGTTGTGAGAGAGAGAGAGGCGCCTCCCACACCCTCACGTCTGCCCGCCCGTCTAGCGTCACCTTATTACAGTCGCCGCCATGTTTGTTGACACACTGAGCGGGGCACATCGTCTCCTTTCACGCCTTTGTTTACATCGCCTAATTTGTCGCTGTTTATCTTTTTTCTTGTTTGTTTAGTTCTGATTCATTGTTTGTATGTCGTGGCGGCAAGTAACAGTTGTCCTGAATTGATTGCAACCTTTGGGGTTTTTTTTTTTGCCATAAATGAACCCCACGAATCCGAACATCTGAACCCACTGCTGAACCTCCGAACCCGAACACCTGAATCCGCTACTGAACCTCAGAATCCAAACACCTGAACTCCCGAACCCGCTGCTGAATCCCCGAATCTGAACTCGACATTGAACCCCTCGAATCTGAACCCGCTACTGAATCTCCGAATTCGAACCCGCTACTGAATCTCCGAATTCGAACCCGCTATTGAACCCCCGAATCTAAACCCGCTATTGAACTCCCGAATCCGAACCCATGAACCTCCGAATCCGAACCCCCGATTCCCTTGTGTTGTGCTCTTAGGATTTCTTTACTGTGTTCCCCTTGTCAAGATTTCCTTTTGCTTTACCTCCTAGGCCAACCATGTCCATCCCTGGCAACCACCCTCTATGCTATCCACTCTTGCACGCACACCACTGCTTCCTCTCTCTCTCTCTCTCTCATCTTTTAATATTATTATTGTTTTTGTCGGTAATTTTGTTATAATTTTGTTGTTGCGGTTATTTTTAGTACTATTATTATTACCAATATTGTTATGTTATTATTGTTATTATCAGTGTTATTATCAGTGCTATTTCTACCATTATGGCTAAGGAACTTGTCAATATTTCAAGTTTGCGGCCACATCAAAAGGTTTCATGTTAACCAATTGTTGGTTCATATATACTGTACCTGACGGGGCAGACGAAGCCTAGGGAATCGGCTTCAGGTATACTCCAGGTAATATGCTTGATTACAGGTGTGGGTGATTGGGTAGCGGTACAGCTTTAGGCTTACACGAGAGAGAGAGAGAGAGAGAGAGAGAGAGAGAGAGAGAGAGAGAGCATATTACCATCACCATATCACCTGCTTAACATATAGCGAGTGAGATCATCATTATCATCATCACCACCATCATCATCATCATCATCATCATCATCATCATCATCATCATCATCATCATCACCACCACCACCATCATCATCACCATCATCATAATAATCATCATCATCACCACCATCATCATAATCATCATCATCATCACCATCACCACCCCCACCATCATCATCATCATCAACAACATCATCATCATCACCATCATCATCATCATCATCATCAACAACATCATCATCATCACCATCATCATCATCATCACCACCATCATCACCACCATCACCACCACCATCATCACCATCATCACCACTACATCACCGGCTAACAACCTTCTCCTCCTCCCCCCTACAGGTCCTGGAGTCTACGGGATCTGTGTTTTGCCCCGAGCTTCCCCATGTACGACAACCACCTCATTGAACTGGTAAGTGGCCGCTCTTCACTTTTTCTGGGCTGTTAAAGATTAGGTCAGTGTGGTGTTGATAGCGTGGTAGTAAAGTAGGTTTTAAATTAACTAACCTAACTCTACCCTTCATATACCTTTCCTAATCTATCCTAACCTAACCTAACCTAACCTAACCTAACCTAACCTAACCTAACATAACCTAACCCAACTCTGTCCTCATGGTCGTCATCGATTTTAATGTTACAGTAGTTTGATAAAAAAAAAAGTGATTTCATTTCTTCACCTCATGAGATATTTTATTGTATTTTATCGTATTTATTGTATTGTATTTATTTATTTATTGCAGATCTTTGAGAAAATCACCCCGTGTGCCATCATCACGCCCCTCGACTGTTTCTGGGAGGGATCCAAACTACTGGGTCCTGATCTTCCTGTTACTGTCCCGTGAGTGTTCGTTTATCTCTCGTATGTGTGTGTGTGTGTGTGTGTGTGTCATCTTGTAGTGGTATCCGTGAAGGGGGGGGGGAATAGTGACCTTAGGGGGGTAATAGTGACCCCCTCCTACCCCCCTCCCCTTTTACCCCCTCCCCTCTCTACCCCCCTGCCCTCTCCACCCACCCCAACATCATCTGTCAGTCACTTACCATCACCACCACACTATCAGTCATCACCACCACACCATCACTCATCACCACTACACCACCTGTGATCGGCCATAGACCCACCAAGGCCGTGAAGACCACACCCAAGCAAGACCCATATTTCCTTCAACCTTGTGCTAATGAGAGGTTTGAGGGCTCCACAGTGAGCTCTTTATCGGGGCGGGGGAGGGAGTAAGGGAGGGGTGAAGGGGTAGGAAGGGAGAAAAGTGGGGGGGGGAGGGGTGTAAAGAACTGGGTAGGAAGGGGAGTAGGGAGTAAGGAGAAGGAATAGGGGATGGAAGGGGAATAGGGAGGAAGGAGGGGTGTAGGGAGGGAGGGAAGGGTGGGTAGGTAGGGAAGGGTGTCGAACCTACCACAAAAACTCGCCCATAGAGTGTAATCATTGCTCGGGACATTTATAATAAGGTGTTGGTAAAGTTGTGGATGGTAGCCAGGTAGGTCGGTGGGTATATGGGTAGGGGGTGTATATAGGGAGGTGGGTGGGTGGGTGGGTAGGTGGGTGGGTGGGTAGGTAAGGTGCGTGGGTGAGGAAGGTGTGAGTGGTTATAATCAATGGGATGGCTGGAGGTGTGAGGCTTCCAGGTAATGATGTGAGGGACTAGGTGAGGGGTTAATTGAGTGAGTGAGTGAGGACCTGACCTAACCTCATTTCACCTAACGTAACCTAACTTAACCACTCCTCAAGGTATAGCGTTTAGGGAATCTTCAGGTGGTCCCCAAGTACTGTCGGGTGATGATTGCTTCAAGTAGACGTGTGTGTGTGTGTGTGTGTGTGTGTGTGTGTGTGTGTGTGTGTGTGTGTGTGTACCAAGGGCTACTTGACGCTTAACACGGATGTTTAAGACCCAAAGTGCTTAAATTCCGAAGTGTTTTTTACGTGGAGGGTAGGAGGAGAGGGGAGTGTGTGTGTGTGTGTGTGTCAGTGTACTCAAGAGGTTAAATTACTGTACTCAGAGGGTTAAATCTCCGTACTCAGGGGTTTAAATTACCGTACTCAAGAGGTTAACTCATCTTCATCAAGAGTATTATTATTATTATTATTATAGTAATACTTTTCCTTGGTGAGAACTTTTTGGACCCCACTTTATACTGTACGTGGGGTGTAACTAAAGGTGTTGATAGGTTGACTGTATATACACATTGTAATATGACTCGAGTGTAGGTGGTGAAGGGAGGGGTGGTGATGGGGATAGGGCGGTGGTGGTGAGGCAGGGGTGGTGTTGGTGATGGGGGTAGGGATGGTGGTGATGGGGTAGGGGTGTTGGTGATGAGGTTAGGGGTGGTGGTGATGGGGTGAGTATTGGTGATGGGGGTAGGGGTGGTGGTGATGGGGTAGGGGTGTTGGTGATGTTGGTGGGGTGGTGGTGAGGGGGATAGGGGTGATGGGGGTAGAGGTGGTGTGGGAAGGGGGTTAGGGGTGGTGGTGAGGGGTTAGGGGGATGGTGGTGTGGGAAGGGGGGGAGGGGTACCTTGTCTTGTAAAGGAGAGATGATAATAATAGATAGAGGAAGGAATAATGATAAACGAGATTAAAAACAAAACAAAAATGACCAAGTGAACACCGCAGCTTATTTCACGTGATGATTAAACACCCTCACAAACCTAACCTAACCTAACCAGCCACTAACCTAACCTAACCACATCTCCAGTTAGTGTTAATGTGGTTAAATATTTAGCTGAAATAAGTTAGCTCGTTATCTTAACTTGGGAGTCTCTAACACTAACTCTCTTGGAAGACTGAAAATCCCTCTAACTCCCTCAGTAAGCGAGAGGGATTGGAGAGGGGAGGTAAAAGGGAGCATAGGAGGGCTCTTGGTGGGTGGAGTGGGGAGAGAGGGAGGTAAGGGTTGTTTTCTGGAGGGGGCGAGGTAGGGAGGTGAGACTGGAGGGGTGAGGTAGGGAGGTAAGACTAGAGGGGTGAGGTAGGGGAGGAGTTGAGGTGGGGAAGGTGAGGTAGGGGAGGAGGTGAGGTAAGATGGGTGAGGTAGGGGAGGAGGTGGGGTGAGGTAGGGGAGGAGGTGGGGTGAGGTAGGGGAGGAGGTGAGGTAGGAGGGGGGGCATTGTGTACAGTACAGGTCACCGTGGGTCTGCCTTGGCATTTTAATGTTAGTTACGGCCATTACGTGGTGGTGGTGGTAGGCTGGTAGGTGTGGTGGTGGTAGTGGCGGTAGGCTGGTAGGTGTGGTGGTAGTATTGGCGGTGGGTTGGTAGGTGGTGGTTGGGCTGGTAGGTAGTAGTGACTGGGATGGTGGGTTGATTGCTGGTGGTGGTAGTAGTGATGGTGGGCTGGTAGGTGGTGGTGATGGTTGTGGTGGGCTAGTAGGTGGTGAAAGTGATGGTGGGCTGGTAGGTGGTGATGGTGGGCTGGCTAGGTAGTAGTAGTGGTTGGGATGGCTGGGCTGGTAGCGGTTGTGGGCTGAGGCTGTTAGGTGGTAGTAGTCGTGGTTGTGGTGATTGTGGTAGTTGAGATGGTGATAATGGTGGTGGTGGGCTGGTAGGAAGTAGTGGTTGTGATATTGTGGTGGTAGTGCTGGGAACAGAGATGGGTGCTGGTGACAGGTGGGTGCTGGTGACAGGTGGGCGCTGGGAACAGGTGGGCGCTGGGAACAGAGGTGGGTGCTGGGGACAGGTGGGTGCTGGGAACAGGTGGGTATTAAGCAGTAGTCAACATGAGGCGGTGGGTGGTGGTGGTGGGCTGCTGCATTTCCTGGTAGAAGGAGGGAGGGAGGGAGGGTAGTAGGCACGGTGGGTGGTGGGCAGGTGGGTTGCGCCTCGGTTGCGTGGAGCCGGAGCGCGGGATTAAGACGTCAAGGCGGGCCCACCCACCATGCCGGTCCGCCTCGCCGCCCTACCTGGAACAAACCGCCAGAAAAACGCAAGGGAGCTGCCGCAGTGTGACCATGTTAGACTTCCTACGTCCTCCCGCCGACCCTCACTGGCCTCCTACCCTCACTCTGCCGCTTTTCACCGTATTTTTATCCCTCGGGAACCTCTCCACCGGTCTAATATTGCCCATTTTTATCTCAAAACGGCCCCGGGGAGGGAGGAGATGGGGAGAACAATGGGTTAGTTGGGGAGGGGGAGGCCAGGCGCGCAGGTGAGCGGGAAGCATCGTGCGGCTGGCAACAGGAGAGACGATGAAGACATCACCCGGGCGCCCACCCACCTCGCCCGGGTCTTAATTTTACGTAATTATCCGTTGGGTAATGTTCGGATCAGTCATGCGGGCGAGCGGGTACGACTCGGCCACATGAAAGCTCTCACAGGGCTAGCAACTTTATTCTGAGAGAGAGAGGGAGGGTTTTGCTGGGTTATTGATAAGCAGTGTAGCGAGCGTTTAGATATTGTTGGCGTGTTACCGACGACGAATCTCTGCCGCCTGGTTTGTTTTTGTTTTGGCGGGCGTATATGATAGGTATGTCCGTGGTGTGGGGGGGGGGGGCTGGCCGGCCTCTCTCCTGTGCCCCATTTGGTGTGTTTGATGCTGGGTACTGTGGTGTAGAGGTACTGAGGGAGGGAGAGGAGTGGTGCAGCAGACTGGGTGGGCGGGCAGGTTGATGATGGATATAATAAATACTGTAATAAGATATCGTTTATGGATGCCAAGATTATCGTTACTTAAAGTTAAATTGATGCTTTACATATTAACCTTCCACTGATTACATTATTATTTAACAACTTGATCACAGCAGATAATTTTGATTGATAACATCGATAACATTGAGGGAGAGAGAATCTGTACAGTATGATGTGCCATTGTATGAATCCGGTGACCATGCTAGGAGCCTCAGCGTGTCATAATGTAGGAAGGAATTCAGCGTCAAGAAATCTGTTTTACCTCTGAACCATTTCACCCAACTGAAACTAATGTAATGTTAATAAGCTTCAAGAGTAATGAGGAAAAAAAAAATCCAGAGAGGTTGATATGGATAAGTGTGGGTTGTAGTGTATCCCTGAGGTGACGAGGAATGACACGGGAGGGAAGGGAGGGCGCCATCTGTGTTGTTTACTCTCTGCTCTCAACAACACTCATGAATGAACACCAAACCATTCATACACCTTCCCCATTGACACTTGTGAGAGAGAGAGAGAGAGAGAGAGAGAGAGAGAGAGAGAGAGAGAGAATATGCTACATCCTCTCCCTCACATTATCTAACAAATGTGGGTGCTAGCTAACTCTCTCTCTCTCTCTCTCTCTCTCTCTCTCTCTCTCTCTCTCGCCAACAAAGAGTTCGCTGGATATAAGATTCAGGATTAATATAGAGAAAGATAGGTCCACTTGGCGACGCTTGACTGCCTCCCAGGTTGAGTTTCTCTCCACACTCGGCTGACCACACCTCTCCTTCCTCACCGCCCACCTGGAGGAGACATGTGGGCCTCACCTCACCTGCTGTTTGGGCGGGAGGGCGGTGTTGGGTAGTAAGGAGGGATGGTAAGTTGGTGTGGGAAAGCGCTAGGTGGTGCTGGGTTGTGAAGGTGGTGTTGGGAATGGCAGAATGGGGTTGGGTCGTGGGTAGAAGGGTTGGGCGGGGAGGGCAAAAGATGGGCGGCCAGTTTTCAGGGGTGGTGGCGGGTGGCCCAGGTTTTGGGTGGAGCGGCAGAGGCTAATCAAGATGTGGTGTTCCTCAAGCAGTGACTCTTGCACGACATCTTCCAGTGACTTGGTAGTGGTGTCAGCCAGGGTTGTGGTGGTGTCAGCCAGGGGTTGAGTGGTGTCAGCCAGGGGTTGAGGTGGTGTCAGCCAGGGGTTGTGGTGGTGTCAGCCAGGGGTTGAGGTAGTGG